CCTGCTGAAGACCCGACGTCCTTCTTAAGGCCCGACGTCCTGCTTAAGGCCCGATGTCCTGCTGAAGACCCGACGTCCTGCTTAAGGCCCGACGTCCTGCTTAAGGCCTGACGTTCTGCCAAAGGCCCGACGTCCTGCTTAAGGCCCGACGTCCTGCTTAAGGCCCGACGTCCTGCTTAAGGCCCGACGTCCTGCTTAAGGCCCGACGTCCTGCTTAAGGCCCGACGTCCTGCTGAAGGCCCGACGTCCTGCTTAAGGCCCGACGTCCTGCTTAAGGCCCGACGTCCTGCTTAAGGCCTGACGTTCTGCCAAAGGCCCGACGTCCTGCTTAAGGCCCGACGTTCTGCCAAAGACCTGACGTCCTGCCGAAGACCCGACGTCACTCAAGGCCCGACATTCAGACCCCACGCTCAGCTCACGTCCGGACTATCGACATCCGATCTTCCAAGTGATACTAGGTCTAACACCCGACTCCTTTTTTATAGTAACCAGTTGTAATCTGAACACCCCTGAAGGTGATTCAACCATTTGTAACCGATTCAAAGTTTTAGTGGAATCATTTTCAGTTGGGCTAGGCCTCGTGGTTTTTTCCCTTTTCAAGGGTTTTCCACGTTAAAAATCTTGTGTTCTCTGTGTGTGAGTTAGTTATCCGTTCAACGCTAAGACGCAGAATTAAACCTCTATCGCCGCGTATTTTCTAGCCCGTAACAGTTTTGGTGCTCTTGTAGCTCAGTTGGTTAGAGCACCCGTTTGGTAAATAAGAAAAAAATTGCTTAAGATCATAACATTAAAATATAAATAATTATAATTACAAAGTTCAGAACAATCAATTAATAAATATAATTATCATAAAAAATTTCATTATACATACATAAATCAACTTAAATAAAAAAAAGATTATTCTAACTAGTAAGATTGACCTCAAATTCTCAATCTCCTTCTTGCTTCAGCTCACATCCTAACTTCTAACCCATAAAGTTCAAATCAGGCTTGCTGCCCCGCCCTGCTCTGCATTTCCTCACGCACGCGCAACGCTCTTTCTCTCGAAGTTCCCGAATCTAGTCGATGACTACACCAAAGCAACTCGTATTTTGTAGGCGTTCTATAAAATATGCAAAAGAGGCAATTTTCAGTACAAAAATTTTAATTTGACACAAGGTACATAGGAGGGCTTCTTAAAGTAGTTTTTTAGTACACAAATTTTATTTTTTATACTAGGAAGTTGCTTTATGAAGTAGCAAAAAAGCTATCCCAAATGAAGCCTAAATACAACCAACTTTTATGTAGGCTCTATATCATGCTCTTTCAATGAAATATGTGATAGCAGTGAAGATTCAGCACAAGCTGTCTGGAGAAGCCGGTTAGAATATAGTAAAAAAAATTATTGATAAAATGGTTAAGCACAGCTATATTAAGAACCCCAGAAAGAGAAGGCTTGGCAAGTAATATTTCCCAATACAGAGTTAAGAAAGTGTTGCATTTTATGCCTATCTTGGTAAAGGTAGCAAATTAATATGATGATTTAAACATAAGTTCTCTCAGTTATGGATAAGTGATAAATATGCAAATAATTCTCCTTTTATCTTATATCACAACATGAAGGATAGCTCCCCTTATGGGCGGCCTACACTCCATTGGATCAGATCTCACTCGCACCTGAGGATAGTCTGAAGAACATAAAAGCGAGTTAGTTAATAGTGGGTAGACATATAGAGGGATAGCGCAAGAGCCTGCCAACAATCCAATTAGCAAATATGAACCTCATGTTTGATAATTAGATTGTTTACTGGCTCTTGCACTTTTGAAATTGTTAAATCCCTATCGTCCCTTGGCATTCTGATCCCACGGCTAGGATGATAATCCATGGGAGGCTCACCTGGATCACGCTGATCTCCTTTCACATTTAAATGGCTGATTTAGGAATGATTATATTAGAGAAATTATATATTATTATGTAATTATTTATTTCTTTATCAAGATATCTTATAAAGATCTATAAATAGGGACAAATTTGTGCCATAAAATTAAGCCTTTTTCCTTTCCAATTTTCTGAATTTAACAAAAATGTTGAAGGGGAGCTTGGGGATGCAAACTGGGATATGTTCTTGGCTGAGTGGCTTCCAACTTCAGAGCACCACAAAATTTGTTAAACATCAAGGAAAGTAGATTATAAAATTGCAATGCCATAATAGAATCATATTAGCTATTGTTGACCTCATTTTTGTATGAGGTCACATTCAACCCCTTTAGATAAAATCACTCGTTTCAATCAAGTTTAACCCAGTCAAATCCTTCAAAACTTTGATTCCACCCCGTCTCATGCCTTGGATGTGTCCCATCCATGGGTGAGTTAAAACCAAATAACTTTGACCAAGTCAATCCTTAAGTATTTGGTCAAAGCCACCAAATGTTTAAATACTCATTTGAATCCCAAATACATTGCTCCAAAGCTTTGAGCCATACCAAATAACTTTCTACCTCCCCCCCATGCCACCTCAGCCTCCTTT